ATTGTTCCAAAAGCGCTATAATAAAGATTGATTTTACTACAAAATATGTACATATTATGCATAAAATATAGGCAACCGTTCCTCGGAAAGACCCTCCATTATCCTCGAATTTTCCCCGAGTATAGTCGCAAAATATCTTTCAGAATATTTCACGCAAATCTCTCCGTGGCAATATTTTATTTTTGTGCGGCGCAACAAAAAAAAAAATTGCTGCCGCTTTGATTTCTTCTCGTTTCAAATATACGTGAACGCCCTTTTGAAAACTGTGCTTTTAACATGCCCGAGGAATTGGACACTCTGCGCCCTCCGATTTCATGAAAGGTTCACCCTTTTTAACGAAACTGTTTGGAACAGCCAAGTTGGAAATTTTCGTTTGAATATTTTATAAAACATCGCAAATATTGCATTCTTTAAATGTGATATTCAAAGTATTGATTTCCCTTCATAAAAATTGCCATTCGTATATCCGATGACAATTTCTTGCTTAATTATAAGTAACTATTATTGGACATCTATCATGAGGCATCACAATTCGCTTCTCATTCTTTTGTGTTTAGATTAACTATTTTCTTCACTTGCAAAAATAATAAAAAAACACTGTAGCTACACAATTAACCATTAGTTTACCTAAAGCTCTTGGATATAGTCTAATAACTCACGTCGCATCCGGAACGATATCCGCGAACAAAAGAGCGGTGCACCAGGAGGCACGACTACTCCAAAAAGTAAAAATTTTATTTGTATATTCACGACGACGACGATAACAAAGTAACTTCGTTCTCCTTTACCTGACTAAATAACGAATTCCAAAAGAGCGAGCAAGTTTATACTTTGCTGGCATTGCGTTGCCTTCCAGGCATAAACTCTAATGGCGAAGACGACGCGCTGTTGCTCACGTACAAAACAAGTTTAAGAAATATATATACAGGAACGATGTTGATAACGATATGCCATCGAGAATATTGTATTGATTAATGACTAGTTTTTAACTAGTTCTCTGAAAAGCTGCAGGAGCATTGTAAAGGCCAAAAGGTACCCTCAAATATTCGTAGTGGCCATCTGGCCGTTTTTGGAATAGAAACTTCTTCCATTTGTATTTTATGGTATTTACTAGCGCGGTCTAGGCTAGTGAAATATTGGCAAGTTATCAGCTTTTCAAGAAAATCATGAACTTGAGGCAAAAGAAATCTGTGTTTGACTGTTTAATGGACGGTAGTCAACACACATGCGCGTTTCGCAGTTTTTCTTTTTGACTAACAGGATTGGACTAGCGTAAGGCGACTCCGATTCTCGAATTATTTCATTCTCAAGCAAGATCTGCACGATATTCCTGTCAGCTTTACCAAGAACACGGACCAAAATGCCTCCATAACCTTTAATGCTTACGTCGCTGTCGGTGTACTTTATTCCCAGTGATTCTGCATCATGTTCTTTGATCAATACAGCAGCACATGCAGAATCTACGTATGATTGTGTAGGCTTTTCGTTCGCCCAGCAATCGAAATTATAGGATGTATTAAGCGCTTGTACCTTGGAATAGTCTTGCACAACTTGACTTCTCAAACTTTTCCTTGGCCTACTGCAGTTCTTTGAGACATGGCCCATTCTGTAGCAGTTCTCACACTGAATTTTCGGCTTGGTGGTCTTGTCTTAGTAGATGGCACCGCTTTCATAAACACATACTTTGTGAAGAAGTCCACTATGACGATTAAATGAAAGTTTTTCCTTTTTGAAGTTGCTAACTAAATGATCAATATGTAGGGTATCAAAGGGCTCGGGTACCTTTTCTATTGGATGCATGTAACCCATCTTTTTGCCTCCCGGTTCCTTGCTGAATAAGCATGATAAGCAAGTGGTGATATAGGTAGTTCTTGATATACTTTCGCATTCCTGAGAACCAGTATATTTTGGACAGAGCTGAAATGGTTTTGTCTAACGACACATGCCCACTACCATCATGGAAGTGCATCACTACTTGTCTTCGTGCTGCCTTCAGAATAACCCATCTTTTCTCATCAGCAAGATTATTTTACTTATATTACTTTTACTGGATTTCAGCTCAGTGCGTCTGCGTGCTGCATTCTTTGACCTGGGCGATATTCAACTTGAAATGTGTATTACTGGATATTCGTCCACCATCTGCCAATTCTTGGAACTATATTTCTTTTAGTCAATGTCGTTTTAATTGCATTGCACTTTGTACATCAATTTTACCAAAGTGTGCCGACGAGTCAGCATTAATTTGGTATAAATACCGCGCCGAGATCCATTACCGGCAGACTAAGGCTAGTGCAAAGTACCTCAATTGGGAAAAGCTCCTCTAGCTAAGTCTCCTCCCAGTGCAAACTACCTTAATTGGGAATCGCCCTTCTGAGACTATTGAACGCAGCAGCCTAGGTCTAATGCAAACTACCTTTATTGGGAAACGCTCTTCTGGACCTGTCTCAAACCCAGCTTCAATCACGCCAAGTGTACAGAGCGTACATAATACAGAGTCGCCTAAGTAGCACGTCCTTCTGTAGAAGAGACATCATGGTATTATTTCTAGGATAATATTATTCTATATATTCAATACATATTTCATTGTACCTATACCAAGCTAGTTTCTCTCTATCTAAACCCCACCTACGCTCCCAGGGGTTGTGACAATATACCTATTAGGTAAACTCTAGATGCCTTTAGTGTAAAAACAATAGCCATTGTTTCTTGCTCGTATGAATGATAGCGTTGTTCTTCTTTTGTAGTCTGCTTATAGTAATACATAACTAGTTTAACTTGTGAGTCTTGCTGTTTTTGCAATAGTATGCCAGCGACGCCTAACTTTGATGCATCCGTATGGACTTCAGTTACCAACTCAGGATCATAGACTCCTAGCAGTGGTCGACTGACAAACTTTTCTTTCAAATGCTGCACATTGTTCATCTCTCCACTCAAAATTAGCGTCTTTTGTGTGAGCACTACCAACGGTTTTGCGATCGTAGCGAAGCCATGTACATACTTCCGGAAGTAAGCCAATCCCAAGACCTTTCTTACACCACGAGAGTCTGTAGGCAATGGACTTGCTGACGGCTTCTGTATTCTTAAGGCCTGGCTGTACTTCTTCTCTGCTGACTTCGTGACCCAAGTATTCCACCTTTGGAAAAAAATTGGCATTTGGATAAGATTGGCTTTCCTAAAAGATTCTAGAACGTCCCTCAAATTGGAAACGCAAGAAGTCCCAACACTTCATTAATAGTTCTCTGGAAAACCGTAGGAGCATTACAAGGGCCAAAAGGAACCCTCAAATATTCATAGTGGCCATCTGGTGTTATAAAGGCCGTTTTTGGAATAGAAGCTTCTTCCATTTGTATCTGATGGTATCCACTAACGAGGTCTAGGCTAGTAAAATATTGGCAAGTTTTCAGTTTTTCAAGAAAATCATCAACTCGAGGCAAAGGAAATCTGTCTTTGACTAATACGTAACTGTTTTAATTTGTCCGTCTTGCTCTTTTTGCAATAGTATGCCACCGACGCGACGCCTTACTTTGATGTATCCGTATGGACTGCAGTTACCAACTCAGGATCATAGATTGCTAGCAATGGTCGAGTGACCAACTTTTGTTGGTATATAGTTGTTGGTAAATAACCGTTAAATGGTCTGAAGATATAATAGAAATCCTCAAATATATAAGTCTTTGGACCCAGGGTTAAAAATTGATCAATTTTTGACGGTAGGCTATCACTCAACAATTTCAAATTCAAAACATGTTGTCCAACCTTGACCTTTCTTCAGATTACTTATCGATTATTATTTATAAAAATGATAAAATATATTAAAAGTTTTGCAAAGATAAATCCCTAATAAATTCAATAAATCGAAAGCTAATTCTCCACCATCGTGTCAAGAATCAGAGAGTTTAAATGTTGCATGAAAATCATATTAAAAAAATTATCTTAAATTTGTTAATTGACTATAAATTTGATTTAATAAAAGAAAAGGTATTAAAAGTTATTAAATAAACGTAATACAAGCCTCCATTCCAACATAAGGTAGAGCACGGAAGCCATCCATCCTCAGTCACTTGACAAAGGGAACCGCACATGGAACTTGCGGATTTCAGCCCAAAATCCAGGCAGATAAGGGACTAGAATTGTCGTCAAATGTGGGGCACACCTATCGACTTGTCAGGGTCTGTTTCTTGTAGGGTCGGAATCCCTTCAAAAGCTCTATGCCACACTCCACGGAAATGGTGTTCTATTGAAAATGTGGCCTTTTTGGAATGGACTTGTTGAGAGAAACGGCTCTCCGAAAGACCCTAAGTAATAAGGCATTCCTTGAAAAGCTATTACTCAAACAGAAATTAAAAAAACTTACCACGAGGGGCGTTGAAGTCAAACTTAAATTAAACGGTAATCACGAGACTTTTTAATTAAATTTTTTTGGTAATCAAAGGATTATTGCTCTACGCAACTTTATTTCACAACGATAATACCTGAAGGCCGATAAGGTACTTTATTTTTCTATGGCACGGTTGTTTCGAGAAGATGGCCGATCGACTTTGCAGCTCGACGACACAATTCGAAAAGGAAGAGAATTGAAATGGACAAGATACTAACCAGTACGTTAAATTTAAATGAAAATCGTGCCCTCTAGTGTAATAATTCAATAATAACTAACATTATGAACCCTCTATGTTAAATTGTAGTCACCAGACTGTCAACATTAAACAGGATTATATAAAATTAAATTAAAAAAAAAAAGGAACAAGTAACTTCACACGTTACAAGGCTTTGGCACAGGGACACGACTTGCTCGGATAACTCTCTAGCCAAGACTTGTTTTTAAGGGCCATTGCATCAGACTTCCAGGTAGTGCACCCATCATTGTGGTGGTTTGAATGGATATCTTCACATTCTATTTTCAAATAATTACGGTCGCTTTTAAACTTATCACCTATAACGTCATTTTCCCCAATCAATACACGCACCTCATGTTCTAAGCAACCATTTTCCTTTTCCAGATTTACATCGAAGTCCTCAACGAGAACGATAACGTCCCCCTTAGCGAACTGCCAGTCTATTATCCCGTCATACAGGAAGACAGTCCTGCGGGCACGGTGGTGCTCCAAATAAAGGCGACTGACAGAGATAAGGAGCCCGGCCAGGAGATATCTTATAAAATAGCCGCGGGCAATCAGTGGGGTTTCTTTGCTATTAATGCCAGCACCGGTAAGTCTCAAAGTATCTTAATTTATTTCACTATTAAGTTTAATGATAAATCATTTGAAAACTTAAAGCCTCAATCGATCTAAAAAATAACTGTGACTGGTAATGAAATATTTTTATATAACTGATGATAAAAAAATCTCTGTCGTCATAATCATATGAAAACTTCCTTCTCCATAAAATATTAAAACAACAGCCTGTAGCGCATTGTAGTACCCTAGGGACCTGGCGTTATCACGCTCCATATACAGGGTCTCATCAAATATTCAACTCGTTCGCTTTTATTATAGGCATTTCGAGCAAATTACAGTTTATATTGTTTATAATACTATGGCGGTAGTCATTAAATTCGTGATAGGGTTTTTATCTTGAATACCTGAGCTGAGGGTTTATTTTAATTACCTTTAGTGGCCAATATAAACGTACAAAAGCTAGTCCCGAAATGCAACAAATACAAGTCTATATTCAAGACACAATTGTTCGAAATTCTTTTGTTGGTAAAATTCGACCTCCCTTTTTGTATAATAGATTGAAATAGGGGGGTTCGGCTGTCCTCAAGGAACGTTCCTGACAATCCTTGGGGATATTTGATATCGAGACGAGCCACAGGTAATGTGCCGCCGCATCGTTAGCATTGTTGGAAAACGTCTCATCCCTTAACGACATTTTTGCTGCGACTGGAGGCTGCAATTTATCCAAGGTTTTTAGGGTTTGCTTTTGAGAGCGATAATCGATCAACTCCTTTACTTTTGTTGTGAGTTATCAATATTGAATTTTTTTGCAAGTTGACCAATGCTGCAAACGAATTCTAAAACAGAATAATTGCTGCTACTATTTTAAACTTTCTCAAGCAATTATAGTTCATGCTTGCTGAGATAATTTGTGCGAATTTTGAAGTTCTCAAGAAATTTAACTGCTTTGGGACTAACTAGGGTAACTGACGCGGAGTTGAGTTAGTTAGCTTTAATCCGGCTTAAATCAAAAGCGAATAGAAAAGACGAATCTTTCTGAAGTTGAACTTCGTTACCGCATGTTATATATTTAGAAACTTTTAAAATGTCCTATATTTTATATTTTTGAATATATAAATGAATGCGTCATTCATAAAGATGCGATTAATATTTTAGAAAACATATATGTCAAGCCAAAGAATGAGATATTTGCCAAACACTCATTATCGTCAAGAAAACAACAAGTTGGTGAGTCTATAAATCAATATTTACAAGCCCTGAAGCTCATGAGCCAAGACTGCAATTTTAAAGTAGTCAGTGCAGATCAAAATAGGGAAAATTACATCAGAGATACTTTCATAACTCGTCTTACTTCTTCTCATATAAGACAGAGGTGTTTGGAACATTGAACACACATATTTATCTGTTTAAATGTGACACTTGCAAAACAAAATTCGAAAAAAATGCTATTTGAAGAGTCACATGTTGACACACTCGGATTTTCATCCTTTCGAATGTGACACTTGTCATGCAAAATTTAAACGGAAAGGCAATTTAAAGGATCACATTTCAACACACTTGGATCCTTACCCTTTCGCATGTGATACTTGCAATGCAAAATTTAAACAACAATAGAATTTGAAAGGTCACATGATGTCACATTTGGATATTTTTAACAAGCCCTGAAGCACATGAGCCAAGACTGCAAATTTAAATCAGTCAATGTAGATCAAAATAGGGAAAATTACATCAGAGATACTTTTATAACTCGTCTTACTTCTTCTCATATAAGACAGAGGCTTTTGAAACATTGTTCATTTGGATATTTATCTGTTTAAATGTGACACATGCAAAGCAAATTTAAAAAAAAAAATGCTAAAGGATCACATTTTAACACACTTGGATACCTAACCTTTACTTGCAATGCAAAATTTGAACAATACAATTTTGAAAGGTCACATGATATCACATCTGGATATATTTTTTATAAGCCCTGAAGCTCATGAGCCAAGACTGCAAATTTAAAGCAGTCAATGCAGATCAAAAAAGGGACAATTACATCAGAGATACTTTCATAACTCGTCTCACTTCTTCTCATATAAGACAGAGGCTTTTGGAACATTGTACATTTGGATATTTATCTGTTTAAATGTGACACTTGCAAAGCAAAATTACAAAAAAAAAATGCTATTTGAAGAGTCACATGTTGACACACTCGGATTTTCATTCCTTTGAATGTGACACTTGTCATGCAAAATTTAAATGAAAAGGCAATTCAAAGGATCCCATTTTAACACACTTGGATACTTACCCTTTAGCATGTGATACTTGCAATGCAAAATTTAAACAACAATACAATTTGAAAGGACACATGATATCACATTTGGATATTTTTTAAAAGCCCTGAAGCTCATGAGCCAAGACTGCAAATTTAAAGCAGTCAATGCAAATCAAAATAGGGAAAATTACATCAGAGATACTTTCATAACTCGTCTTACTTCTTCTCATATAAGACAGAGGCTTTTGGGACATTGTACTTTTGGATATTTATCTGTTTAAATGTGACACTTGCAAAGCAAAATTTAAAAAAAAAAAACTATTTGAAGTCATATGTTGACACACTCAAATTTTCATCCCTTTGAATGTGACACTTGTCAAGCAAAATTTAAAAGAAAAGGCAATTTAAAGGATCAAATTTTAACACACTTGGATACTTACCCTTTTGCATGTGATACTTGCAATGCAAAATTTAAACAACAATACAATTTGAAAGGTCACATGATATCACATTTGGATATTTTTCCTTTCCAAAGCAAAATTTAAACGAAAAAACGATTTGGAGAGGCACATAATAACACATTCAGATATTCATCCTTTTAAATGTAACACTTGGAAAGCCAAATGTAAACGCAAAAACAATTTGAAGAGGCACATAGTAACACATTCAGATATTCATCTTTTCGAATGTTACATTTGCAAAGCAAAATTCAAATAAAAATACTATTTGAAGAGTAAGATGTTGACACACTCAGATTTTCATCCTTTTGAATGTGACACTTGCCATGCAAAATTTGAACGGAAAGGCAATTTAAAGGATCACATTTTAACACACTTGGATACTTATCCTTTACTAACTAAAAAACGATTTGAAGAGGCACATAGTAACACATTCAGATATTCATCCTTTCAAATATTGCATTTGCGAAGCAAAATTTAAAAAAAAATGCTATTTGAAGAGTCACATGTTGATACACTCGGATTTTCATCCCTTTGAATGTGACACTTGTCATGCAAAATTTAAACGGAAAGGCAATTTAATTTGATACTTGGATACTTATCCTTTCGCATGTGATACTTGCAATGCAAAATTTAAACAACAAAGCAATTTGGAGAGGCACATAATAACACATTCAGATATTCATTCTTTCAAATGTATCACTTGCAATCTTGAAATCAAAATATCAAAACACCTTGCGCCAAGAGGAGATTCTGCTCTGCATCAAGAAACGTCGAATGAAGATATGAATGTAGAACATTATAGAAACGAACCTAATGATCAAAACAGCGACCAATGTAATGAACCAGGTTCCCACTCAATTACAACAATTCTGATGCTGGAAATCTTGATGGGTTACCTGAAACACCATTAAGGAATCTAGGGGATGAAGTTGTAGAAAATATAACGGACTATTCCTTGAACCGACCAAAACATCAAAAGAACACTCTTGTCTATTTGAAAGATTTACCGCAAAAAATAAAACGTCCAAATACAAGAAAAGACTTCCAGTACTGTAAACTTCTGCCTAATCTGCTCATCATTTAGTTTCTGGACTATTTATTTATGAGAATATTAAACTAGTTTATTAGAGCACTTTCAAGTACTTAAACTATAAACAAAAATTATTCTCTCTTGTAAATATTGTAAAACTTTCTACAAACAAATTTATATAGTTTTAAAGGACCGAACTTTACCTGAACGCTTCATCTCTAGGGCGGCAAGTTGATTAAATATTTATCAGGCCCGGGTTTCGGCAAAGTGCATTTTCGTGTTATTTTGCGCTTAAAGCGACCTCACATAAAGTGGCAACGAAAGTCCGTTCAGTCGATTAGGTACTGTCTTTGTAAATTAGTAATGGGATCACCATATTTTTTGCTATTATTTGTTCTCATTTAGAAAGATCCTTAACTAGCTAGGGTTTTTTTGTGTGGAGAAGATTTCGAAATCAAATTAAAACTTTCGACTGATCGTCTAGACGTTAAGAAAAGAAACTTTAACAAATAGAAACTTTTCCTAGAAAACGAGGAATCGCTAGGAAAGTAATAAGATTAACCGAGTTGACGCAAACTTAAGTGCTCCCTTAGTATGAACGGAAAAGCATTAGACTCTTTTAACCATCCTTTTGTATTTTTAATTAAATAATTTACGATAAGGTTTTCGAATTGATTTTGCCTCAAACGGTTCTGTTTTGTTGAAAGTGAATTAATCCCGAAGAATTTTAAATTGATGCAGAATGAAAGATTAGTAAACTGAATAGTCAGCCGCGGTAGCAATGAAACTTGCTTTGTTTTTGGGTGATATTATAAAATAAAGAGCAAGCCGGTGGGTTATGGAACCAATGATGGAACCGGATGCACAACTAAATCTGGTACTGAGTTCAGCAACCGAACAGAGTACGAGCAGCGTGCGGTACACACTACGTGAACGGATCACTATAATAATGGATTTGTTTACATAACTAATAATAAAACAACAATTCCCTTTCAATATAGAACAGATTTCGAGAATCAAAATTTTGAGAATCCGAGTAATTTGATTCAAGTTTGTTATTTCAACACAAATAAAACCAAAAAAACCAAACATATTATATTCCCTCGACAATAACAACAGTAATGAACAAGATGGTACCTCTAGAAGTACACAACTTAATGAATAAGCCTAATATTCTCTAAATAACTTGGCGGGGGAATCAATACTCAGTAATAATTTAAAAGAATTATCAAATATCAAATACGGATACCTACTCCATCAGACCAATCTCTGTAATTATCTTT